GGGAGCTTCTAAGGCCCTGTTTACATGAGACCCGGGACAAAGTCAAACCGGAATGAAAATTGAAATTGTCAACATGTTTACATGAGACCGGTACGAGGATCACAAAATCTTCAATTTATTCCCCTTGCCAGGCAATTTTCTTTTTCAGGTGGCTTTTGCTAGCATGTGTTGTTCCAATGTCAAGATTACAGCCGAGACCGGTCTGAAATGTATTTGTGTTTACATTCATCCCGGTCTGAATTCATGCCGGTCTGAAGTCAGTCGGTTCAGTCCAGAAGGCGGAATGACTTGAGACCGGTCTGAGTTATTTTCGTCCCGGTCTCATGTAAACATCTATTATAGATAATACTATGACCGAAACGAGATGGTCCCGGTTTGACTTCGTTCCGGTCTCATGTAAACGGGGCCTAATGGTACAGTCTTGGCCCTACCCCAGTTTTTCTGTACTGCATGTGTTTTTGTCACTTCCCTGATTATACCATAAGTCTGTATTGTATCCCATGGACACCATCTTATCAGTTCTGCAGTTTTTTGACAATCTATCGTAAACCTCCACCTAAAAGCACTGGGCTTATATTCTTTTGTAAGCGATTTTTGATGGGCTTACACAAAGGGGGGCTTATACACGGGGAGGGGCTTATATTCAGAGGTTTATGGTATGTATGGTTTTCATAATTTTCAGTGTATAGTCTTCCCTTGCTCATCACAAATTAATAAAAAGATCACACACTACATAATTGATGTTGATAAAATTTATTTATTTTAAAATCAAAAAAATATTAACATAATATTGCTACTTAATGATAATTAAAATGTTTTTAAAAATAAAATTTTATGCACACAATTTTAAAATATTGCACACATTCATTTCACCAGTACACATGGATGCTATATGATAAAGTATATGAAAGGTGATGCTTTTGCTCTAGCTTAATGCTGTATTAAAACAATCTAGAGGTATTACATAATTGGTAAACCTCTTCAATCGTAATGATTTTTTGCAACAGATATGAATTCGATGAATGCTTTATCTTCCTTAAATGTCCATTTATGAAGTTTAACTGGGAATTTCTTTGGAGGAGTCGTTTAATCTTTCTGATAAGAATCTACAAAACAAACAGCAAAAGTGAGAGGGGCAATGTTATTGCCAGCACAATTAGACAACAACAAAGAAACTCATGGATTTTTACCAGGATTGTGTGCATGCTTCTCCAGTTTGTGTACTATAGGTTTTCTGGAATGCCCAGCATTGAAAAATAATGTTGGCATACAAAAATACTGTTTAAAGTCAATCTTAAAACAATTGCCCAATTTTTAAAGCAGAATTCTGCCTAACTAAACACTGACTGGAGGGGTTGCAACCCCCCCCCCCCAGCCTCATATGCCTATGGACAGAAATTCTCCCAGGCAAAAAAGCATTAAAATACAATGTTACTATCACTATGATAATGACTCAAGCACCCATTATTAACATATTGTTTCATTAAAAATATACAATGTTTTTGTGTAATCATACTGTATTTTTAATATGTTTGTAAAAAGATTTGTACTTTTAAATACACCTTGGCTTTGGACTCTGAAACAAAGTTCGGCTTGATGTTGAATTTTTCAAACGAGAAATTATGTGTCTTTTATTATTAGGTTTCCCTGGGGGAAATATGTACGAACATATATGCGTATGTTTCAAAATTATCATGGAAAATAGTGTTTATAGTACAATAATTTCCTTCGCGCCATGATGATTATCAGACGGTCTATTCCCGCCATCGGCGATAGAATATAGCAAAAGTACCCCATTTTCAAACCGCGATTACTCGTCGGTTTAGTGGAGCAAATTCATGTTTTAAAGTAACAGTAGAAAGAATAAATCTTCCCGAATTCGATGACGTGTTTTGTTTTTATTTTCCTAAAAAAAAAGTGAATTTGCTTCTGCATTATATCAAGGTCATTTTATTGCCGTGTCCACTGACCCGGGACAAGCATAATTACAATACGTAATTAGCATAACTAAAAAGCAATTCCTGTACCAAATAAGTAAAAAATAGTTTAATTAGGTTCTTAAATAATACAAATATAAAAACATACCTTCCAAAAAACGAGATATACGAAGCCAAAATCGCAATGTATTTCAACAATTTTTCGCCAAACGTTCGTTGAAAATCGTAATTGTGAATAATAATGAGACGCAATGCATTGTGGGAAGACCCTCATTCCTCCTCTGTCAATAGACAATAGACAATTTGAAAACCCGTGGCTGCGGCATCGATTCTGCCGTGTTTAATAACTACATTTTTTTTAAAAAAAGCTCTTGTTGTAATAATATATGTCACTAGTTGAAACTCCCAAAAAGAAAGTCTCAAAGAGAGAGCGGACTTCGGTCAAAGAACACGCAAACGACTATTGCAAAATTTCCAGGTGTAAATTCAAATTGGCCAGGTGTTCTAAGAACGACTTTCCTCGACGGCGTCTGTTTTAATAATTTGCCCATTGTCTTGGCTTATTCAAGACCAGATTGTTGAGGCAGAAAGCCTTGGGTTGACAGGGAAGTATTTGGGAGAAATGTTCGGAGGCATTTGACAATCAACTGCTTTATATTAGCTGATTCACTGCCTGTGTCTCAACGAACGTCTCGGTGGGCTAAGTTGTTCAACGTTTGAAAACACACAC